ATGAAGTCTAGGAGTCAAGATGCCCATTTGTCAGTCCTCCATGCTGGAACATTCTACAGATATTCTGTCACACACAATGGAGTGGTTGATCTCCTAAATAACCAAAACATCATGGAGATCAAACCGTGACAGAAAAATGGAAACTACCATTTGTAAAAACACTCTGTTTATCAACGCTCCCCAGCATGTCCTTAGAAGCTCCAAAATTAAATTCACACCTTTAGGAAAAGGATCGAATGTGTGTATACACACACTCAGAGACATACTTGAGTCATCCCCAAACATGCCATCCTTCAAGGACTTGGTCAACTCTTCAACAACAAGCAGTAATAACATTTTTAAAAACATTTAAAAACGACTTCTAAAAAGTGAATGAGGCAACTTTATTCAGTGAAAAGCAGAGCAGAGATTTAGAAAGCAAATTATAACTGTCTGGTTGGAATATAATCCAGTCATGGGGTTCTCACTGCCTCTCTCAGTGGCTGAGAGTCTTCAAAGATGGCTCCCACCAATTTCTCTCGTCCCAGAGGGCAGGCTCAATACATGGAGATGTCTAGCTCGCTCAACTCTGGGTTGGTCTTATGACTTGCTTTAATCAACAGAATGAGGCCAAAGTGACTTCTTGGATTTTTGAGCCTAGGTCTTCATTGGCCTGACAGCTTCTTCTTCCTCTCTTAGAAACCAGCCACCGTGTGAAAAGTTTGACTTCCTAGCTGGAAAGAGAGGTTTGAAGCCCTCTTGGTCACCAGAAGACAGCTGAGCTCCCAGCTGAATGCAGCTACCTGGTTGAGCCCAGGCAAAAACGGAACCCCAGGCACTCCACAGAATTGTGAAAAGTAATAAATCAGTGCTTGTTTCAAGCTGCTAAGTGTGGCGTTCTTTCTTATGAGGCAATAAATTACGAACAGTGGGTGACAAAGATACCAAATGGTTAAACGAGAGCCAGATCTGCTTTTCACCTGTGACCGTCTGTGATCATATCGGGATTCTGCACCCTTACTCTGCTTGCAAACTAAAATTTAAGTGGAGAGACAGAAATAGGACCTCCTCTTGTCGTAGACAAACCCAAGCATTCAGTAGCATCTGGGATACTGGCAATGAGGTTCACACTGCCCTCTGACAATTCTAGAGCCCTGTGGGACTAGCCAAAACTATCTCCCTTGCCCAGTTCAAGACACTCTCTCCCTCCTTGTTCTGCTTTACCTAACACCATGCCACAAACCCACAAATGTTTATGTTTGAGAGTAACAAGATGATGAATGCTTGAGGAATAAAACTTCAGTATGAGTATCAGGAGGATGAAAAAAAGCTAGCAGAGGCCTTGAATGCACTTTATGGCATGGACTACATGAAGCCACACACACAGCAATGACTGTGCAGGCTTGGGGTGGACTGAACTGTTAGCTCTAATTTTTTTTTAATAACCTTTTATTTATTTATTCTTTGAGAGAAAGAGAACATGCACACAAGTAGGGGAGGGGTAGGCAGAGAGGGAGAATCTTAAGCAGACTCCACACCCAGCATGGAGCCCGATGTGGGGCCCGATCCCATGACCCCGAGATCATGACCTGAAGCAAAATCAAGAGTCAGACGCTTAACCAACTGAGCCACCCTGGCACCCCATGTTAGCCCCAATTCTTGACCTTTCTTTGCAAACACATCCTTGTCACTAATGCACTGTGGTCAGATGTATTTCTCTGCCTCTTGTCTTTGAGCCTGTTCATGTGACTTTATTTGGCCATCAAAATGTGGGGGCAAGTGACGGTGTGCCAGATATAAGCCCAAGGTTAAGAGGCATCTTATGTATTGCTTGCACTTTTACCCTCTGCCAAAGAAGAGCGTGTCCCTCCTCCTCCCGTGGCTCGCCGGTCCCAGGAGGAAGACAAGAGAGACATGGAGCAGAGCCACTCCAGCTGACTCACCAACTCGTGATCAAGAAAGACATGCTCATTGTTGAATACCACTGAGATCTCGAGGTTGTCCAATACCCAGCAATAGGTGACTAATACAAGGTTCCTTTATCAGATGCCAACATTTGCCAAATATACATGGAACTTTAGAATAACAGAGTCTCCTCACCCATAAAAGCTGAAACTAAATTACCAACTGGTTGGTTAAGTGATCTCATTGCCAGGCAGAAAAGAAGTACCATATATCAGATATCACTGGTTTTTGCTCTTAGTTTATCCTTCTAAAGATTATAATTTGGTATTCAAATTTCTCTATGATTTAACCCTAACTTAAATTTTCTAGCCAATTCTTTCACTTAAATCTTATATTCCATATTCAAACTGAATTATTTATAATTCTTAGGTAAGTCTCACATTACCTCTAGCCTTTCTTCATCCTGTACCTTCCAGTACCCTTCATCTGACAAGCTTAGATTCTTCTGGTCCTTTAAGGCCAGGTTCAGATGTCACATCTATAAGAAACCTGCTCTGAACCCACCTTTTAAAGTAGTCTCTCCATGTCCCTGACTCTTATCACAATGCATGTCTTTTCCTTTTCTGGTATTTGGCTTATTCTGCCTCATAACATTGCTTCATCTGCTTATAAAGTCCTAGAAAGGGAGGTTTACATATTACTTACCCCTACATCCTCCAGGGAAGTTAGCAAAAGGTCTGGGCCCATAGTGTACAGGCCAGCCACTAAGTTTTCACACTGAAGAATGAGTGGCCGATGGGGGGCAGCAAGGCAACTGGGAACAACATCAAGAAAGTAACAGAGACCCTGGCACAGAGACGCCTGAGTGTACGGCTTCACAGCTGGGCAACTAGGGACCAGTTATTCTCTCTGTCTTTCAGCTTCCAAACATGTAAGATCGGGATGACACATCTTTCATAGAACAGTTGTGAAAACTCACCCAGAAAATGAATATAAATGCTTCCGCCTGTGTGACATATGGTGGCAGGTCCATTACGGTAGCTCTTATTACAAAAACGATAATGACACAGAATATCATCTAGAAGTTAGTTTGAATAAATCCTTGATACTAGATTATGTTTCCTCATTATTTTTAAAGTTTAGTTATTTATTCTGAGAGAGGGTGAGCGTGAGCCTGGGAGGGATGGAGAGACAGAATCCCAAGCAGAGCTTGAACTCACAAACTTTAGACCTGAGCCGAAAGTAAGAGTTGGAGGCTTACGTGACTGAGCCACCCAGGCACCCCTAGATTACGTCCTCTTCAAAGTTAAATGTGTGAGAGTGACAGGATGATTCTAGTTCCAATGAACTGTTTTCCCAGAAATCGGCCTCAGTCGTCTGGATTCTAGTTTTCTTCAGATGCTCACATGTTATTCTTCCCCACAGTTTGGATTTTTTAAAGTTTATTTATTTATTTTGACGAAGGGACAGGGGCAGAGAGTGAGAGAGCGAATCCCAAGCAGGCTCTGCCCTGTTAGCACAGAGCCCAACGCGGGGCTCTAATCCTCAAACCACAATCATGACCCAAGCTGAAGTCAGACACTTAACCAACTGAGACACCCAGCCATCCCCACAGTTCAAAATTTTGTAGCCAGTCACCACTAGAAGCAAATCTGTTCCAGGCAACAAACATACTTCCTTAAAATGACACAAAACAAAATCCTCCTCCCCTACATACTAGTCCACTTTCCGTAGAGCATTAGCCTTCCCACCGCACATCAGTTCTCCGCTAGGGACCCACACAACCATTACGATGGACCAAAACATGGCAGAGTTATGTGACAGTGACTGAATGGTGCCCTTCAGTTGTTTGTCTGTTAACATGATTTCAACGAGGTTCTTTATCAAACGGGAGAGGAAGAGGTACTCTCAGGCAGAGGGCTGCCATGAACATGTCCTTGAGTGGGCTATCGCTGTTGAAGTAATTCAGGAGCAGAACTGCATCACTGCCTTCCTCACTGGGGTTTTGTGCTAACATACAGCCATGTGGCATCAGAGCAACAACTGATTGTCCAGGGAACAAACTCATGTAGAGGCAAACTCAAAAGCTCATAAGTGGCCAGGTAGGTGACGTTACTGAGTGACAGGACTTGTGCATTCAAGGGCAGTCTCAATGGTTCCCTGGAGGCCACAGCCTGACCGAAGGGTCACTGCTACCTCGCCCCACTGCTGCCACAGCCTGTGTTGCCAGATTTTCTGAAGGAATTTGGGGTTTTAAGTGAAGCATCCTGGTTTTTAAATGCCACTTGGGGCGCCTGGGTGGCTCATTCAGTTAAGCGTCCGACTTCGGCTCAGATCACGATCTCACGGTTTGTGGGTTTGAGCCCCGCATCGGGCTCTGTGCTCTCAGCTAGCTCAGAGCCTGGAGCCTGCTTCGGATTCTGTGTCTCCCTCTCTCTCTGACCCTCCCCTGCTCACACCGTCTCTCTCTCGCTCGCTCTCTCAGAAATGAATAAGAAACATTAAAAAAATTTAAATACCACCTTGCTTTTTACTTTATGATTCTCTAGGAGCCAAAGAAAATACACTTGTAAGCCAGACGTGGCCATGAGTTGGCAGGCTGTAATCTCTACATTAGATATTCTAAAGTCACTTTGAATTGTCATACAAAGGTTGAAAGATTATTACATTCATTGTACTTGTATTTTTTAATCTAAAATTCATAATTCACATAAAAAGTAACTATTAGCCCTAAAAAAACACCTTGCTCTCTCATCCATAAATCCTCACTCACTCTACTTTTGAACCTTTGTATTTTCGGTCTCACAGTACCCTCTACCTGGACACCCAATGCCTGCTGTCCTATGCACCTAATAAGTCCTACGAGTTATTTAAAACTTGACTTCAATGCTAGTTTCTGTATAAAACCTCCATAATCCTCCTCAAAATTCTGTATATGTAAGTTATTATGAAAATTGCACCATGTAAAAGATCTGCATTGATTTCTAGCCATAACTCACCAGCCCTTTACCAGCAGCCCCCAAAAGAGGTAACACCAATAACACTACAAATATTCACTCCTGGGAAAGTGAAAGGCCTGGCTCGACGGTTCAAGAGTGAAGTTCAATGGCACTCACCGCCAAACACATCTCCGTTCTGGTAGTTCTTCCCTTTCTGGGCTTCCTCTTCATTTTGAACAGTGGCAACATGCTTGGCGGAGGCACAGCCCATAGTCTCATTCGGTCAGCTTCAGCCGGGCTGAACTGCAAATCATCTCTACAGACACAGGGACATTTTTTTTTTCTTTAAACACAAAGAAAATCCACTTTCCTGCTGAGTCGGTCACAATGTGCGCACCTGGAAGAACAGAAAGCCAGGTCAGAATGAGTGAAAACAAAACCTCTGCGTCTAACGTGCTATGTGATCAGCAATGCACTAGGATTCCTGCAAGAGCCCGCTGCACTGAAGGGGGGGGGGCGGGGGGGAGGGGGGGCAACTGTGCTGAAGGAGATGCAACAGGGCCTCTTCTCATCTGATTCTCACCCAGAAAGCAACGCCGGAGGGCAGGCCCCCTGCACAACACATGGCTGGACGTTTGGAGGAGAGAACAAAAAATATGTATTTGTTTATCCAAATAACAATTTGAGCACTACTCTCTGACACACATAAAGTGCATGTATGTTTGCTAATGTTCTGGAATCTCACAAACCTTCAGAGTAAGGAAAGAACAGTCATGAGATCTGGGAAGAATTCTGCATCTTCCCCCTTCCTGCCTTGCAAGCCAGCTCTTCTCAGATGCCCCATTTTTTTTCCAGGAGGAGGTGGCCTTCCTCCTCAGGTTAATTTATACATTTTTGGTGGGTTCTGTAAGGAATTCTGTATTTTATTTTACTTGAGGTGACAATGTTTTGGAAGATAAAGGAAGAAGATCGGGGCAAGGACTTAAACTTATTTTTGTCCATTTTCTGCTTAGTTAGCAGAATGCTTTAAGGATTCAGCAGATGTAGGAAGATCAAGAGAAGAAAACAAAGCAACTGCCCACTTCCTATCAGAGCCTCTGTGCCTCTATTGGACCACTAATAAAGACTGGAAGAGGATTTATGGATAAACCACAAAAGAGATAGTCCTCTAGTTAACTTAAGTAAATATACCTTCCCTGCCCCACCCAAGGTTGCTGCCCAGATTCTCAGGGTTTGCTGTGTATTTATGTTTCACCATCCTTTTCCAGCCTCATAGATGACTTACTCCAGTCTCACAGATGTCTCCTTTGAAATTCTACTAATTTCTCCATCTCCATTCATCCCACTGTAGCACAGGCCCTTACCCCCTCACACCCAAGCAGAGCAGATGAATCATCATGCCATGCACTTGACCTGCATTAGCACCCACGTCTCCCTGCCCACCTCTCCCCTTTATGAACAACTGGTGTTTCTCAGCCTCTGGGGCAGTGGTACGGAAACTGAAATGCAGCTTTAGGCTTTCTGTCCCAACAAGACTGCTGCCCCTAAGCCTCCTTCCTAGAGCTCTAAGGACGCTCATGGATGCAGAAATCTTAAGCCATAACATCTCACCAAAGGAAAATGTTCAAATTAACCTAACACTGAAAGGTGTTGATGAAATTGATTTCATCCACAAACTTAGATATAAAATAATCTTAAATGAAGACAAGAAAATGCAAATTGCCAATCCTGACTCTATAATACTAGTCATCTTTGTATAGTTCTTCACATTATTCTCTAGTACTGCTTCTGTCAAATCATTAACAAAAAGCATGGGGTTGGTAAAGTTTTACAAAAAAGGAAGATTATTTTTCCCTAGATAGTTAATGTTTGTAGTTTCTCTACACAGTTTGGTAGCCTCTTGTTAACACATTTTCGTATTTTTAAGGCTATATGGAGCACATAGGCACAACACATTTAGCGGTAACATCATTAAAGCGACAATTTTTTTTAAGCAGTAGTTTGATTTGATGGTCTATTCATACTGGTCTATACAGCTCAGGGGCCTGATGGGGAAGTACACATAGGAGAGACGTTTTTTTTAAAAATCTACACTATTGATTATAGTAGTAAGATCCATGATAAAGGTTTCACAGTAATCTATGGTAATGCAGAATTTAAAAACAAACAAAACAGATTAAATTATGACAGGGCAAAAGGCAGGAATTAAAAGAAGTAGTATTTTGTAGAGATTTAAAAGCGGTAGAAATCTGTAACGCCAAACGAAGGACTGAGCGCGCCTGCGCCCGTGCGTGAGTACGCATGCGCACACGCGAGTGCGGCGGCGCTTATACATGAGTGCGCTTGCGTCTGCGCAAGTGAGTGTGCGCGTGCCTCCGGGTGAAAGTGCGCACGCGCATGAGAATACGTACTCACCCTGGCCTGGCGGGGCAAAGTGGGAGCGAGGCAGGGAAGAGGGCTGCGCTGCCTGGAGGAGGCCTTGCAGACTTTATCCTGCTTGAGGATAAGGCAGTCTCTCTGGTGCAAATGTGAGCGCACTGAGAGGGTGCAGAAATGCATTCTGTCGACCTACCAGAGTTTTTGAAGAAGCATCACTGAAATATGAGACAAGAAGAACAGGAGATGGGATTCAGTTCCAAAGGTAGAAGGAGGAGGAAATTCCTCTCCAACCAAGAGGCTGCTAAGGATGGCTGCTGCTGCTGCGCGTTCCCAGGCAGTGCTTGCTCCTCGATTCCCATCTCCAGCAGATTCCCATCTCCAGCATCACCACGTAAGGGAACAGGTGTGGCCTCCCAGAACCAATTCCTTACTTTTCACAAAGGAATGTGGGAAAACAAGCTCACGTGTACACAGGAGAGCGAACAGAAGTGGGAGGGGAAACCTCCCATCCCCTCCCTGTCGCCTGCCACCTCTTCAAAGCAAAGTAAAACCAGAGGAAAGTAGGAAACCCTAACAAAAATCCCTCAAGGACAGTGGTGATCCGGAGGCAACTTAATCATTCTCTCTGGGAGTCCCTCTCGCTTTTCTCTTCCTCGTTCCAAATTCATGTATGAACCGTCATATGCTATCCAAGAAGTTAATGTAAGAGCGTAAGATGTGAATTACCCTTTGTTATCCACTGAAAAGCGGTGTGCGGTGTTTCATCTGTGTTTTAAAGGCTGTGTTTATATTAAAAAGTCTTACTTGAGTTTAAAAAGTGGAAATCACATGAAAACTTTAAAAAACTGCAAAAGACTTACAAAAATAAAACACATAAGAATAACTTTTAGGACTTCACTGTTATCCAGGCATGAAGGTGAGGAACATGTTAATAAGGAGATTAGACATGATATACATCCAATTCAAGTAATGACTCAGGAAGCTTCCATTTAATTATATTTTTTATTTTATGTTTATTATTTAGAGAGAGAGTGGGCATGAAGCCGGGGTTGGAAGGTGGAGGGAGAAGGGCAGAGAGAAAGAGGGAAAGAGAGAATCCCAAGCAGGGCTCAAAGCTGGGCTCTATTCCACCACCATGAGATCATGACCTAAGCCAAAATCAAGAGTTGGATGCTTAACCGACTGAGCCACCTTGGCACTCCTTAATTTTATTTTTTAAAAGGCACTGTTGCTCAATAGGAGTTCTCTCCAAATTGTAAGTAGAGATTCCGTTTTTGAAACGTACGCACTCTATATTTTACCGCATTCATTTAATGAGTGGTGTTTTCAAGTTTTACAACTTTGTCAAAAATATATTTTAATATTTTGCCCACTTTGAAGGCTATAATTATGAAGTCGCCTGAAAGGCAGAAGATCTCTGATTCATAAAGTTAACGTGGTTCAGTGGAGAAAGCTTTTTACTATGTCATCTGGATCTTGCACAGAAACAATTGTCCAATCCTCTGTTCATTTAATCAACAGATATTTATTGAAAACTGCTAAGTGTTTAGAGATGAACAAGATACAGTGCTCCTCCCTATCCCCATAGGAAGATGAACATTCGGAGAAAAGAGATCATTAGAAAGACGAGTCTCACAGCGGTGCTGCTAGAGCCACTGCAGGTTAAATATAGAAAGAGAGGCAAATTCACCCCATAGGCACCTGATTCAGCCTTGAGGGAGGGAATGGCAGGAGAGGTCAAGCTTGAGGCCTGACCACAGCTGAAGAATCACCATTAAGATGCCCCCAAATTGCATCTCTTTTCATAGCCTGATGTAATGTCAAGGTTTCGTTTCTAACTGAGAATTCTCTCACTTTGACCTCAGTCCAACCTTCCCTCTGTTTGGAAGTATCCTTCACAGAATCCCTAGCATTTTCTTTCCTTTTCTTTCCTTTTTTTTTTTTGCTCCTATTTTTCCATTGGCTTTGCTCAGCTTTTCTCTGCCAACCTCCACACCTTCTGTTCAGTCCCCTTCCTGAAGGCACACCGCTTAGCGAGGTAAGTCTGATGGTGCAGATGAACCCACAGAGACCACAAAGCTGGACAGAGCAGAGTCTCATTTTCACATACTGTTATGAACAGCATGCTATTTCTGAAGTCCGGTCACAGTGTAAGAATTAACCTGAAGTAGCTCTTTGATGTTTGATAGACTCTTCTAATAATACCAAGCCCCACTGAGGACGGTTTTAAAAACTAAATAATCTATATCATCGTGCACCTCTAAAAACATGGGATCCAATTAATTGCCCATGGCTTTGTGCAAAAGTCTCCCCAAATGGTTGTATGGGTACATTATCCTGTACTATGAAATCAGAAGTTGTAATCCCTATTCACAGTGCTATAAGCTAACTGAATTTAGGATCATCTGTATAGGATATTTTTCCTGCTTTTGATAACTAAAATACATTAGCAAATTTGAAAATCATTAAAAACTTTTTAAATAGGACTAAAGTAGGGTACCTGGGTGGCTCAGTGGGTTGCAGGTCCGACTTTGCCTCAGGTCATGACCTCATTCATGGTTTGTGAGTTCCAGCCCTGAACCATGCTTACTGCTGTCAGCGCAGATCCGCTGTCCCCTTTTCTCTCTGCCCCTCTCTTTCCACACACTCACACATGCACTTGGCTCTCTCTCTCTCAAAAAGAAACATTAAAAAAAATAAAAAGGACTAAAATATTTGTATCCATGCATGTTTATCATTCCTCCCCTTACACTATGCTTCAAGCCTCTTTAGGTAATGCTGTAAGTATCACTAAGGTAATTGCTGTTTGAGAACAGTCCACATTATAACATGAGAAAGTTCTTTTTTATACACAGCTGAGTCCATTGCTTTTCTATGAATACATATTACATACATGTGAAACAACTGTCCTTTTGTAAGAAGAGATTATGGATTATGATGGCTTTTGTTCAATACCAGGGATTGCTCTTTATTTTTTCGTTTTCAGCTTTATTAAGGTAGAATTGCTAAAACTGCAAT